CTGCCGCTCCTTCTCCCGCAGCTTCTGCACCAGCACATAGCGGCCTGTCTGACCTGCCAGGAGGAGGTGAGCACGTCAGACTGGGAAAGCCACGGCCAGCAGCGGTGTGCTGAGGCTGCTGACATCCCCCGAGCCCCAAAGCAGGACCCCTACCCACCCAAGGTCTGCTCTTCCCAGGAAGCACCTGCAGATGGGGCATTCCCTTGGCAGATGCCACCACCAGCAAAGGGGCATCCCTCCTTCCCCAGCAGATAGACATGGCTCACCTATGGCCCGTGCCAAGGCGATAACCACTTCTTGGCAGGTGGTTTGTTCCGAGACGCCACAGACAACCCTCTGGATTCCGTCCACCCAGACCTTCAGCTCCATCCCCACAGCTGCCGGGCCTCAGGCGCACTGACTCATTGCAGGACGAGTTGTCTGCAGGGAGAAAAGAAACCGGATTTCCATCCCAAGCTGCTAATGAGGAATACGAGAAGCTTTACGAGCAGCGTCAATGATCATCTTTTAACACCAGCATCCCTTATGGTGCACCATAGACCAAGCAGCTGCTCGCTGCTGCCCTCCTTCTGTCCGCGGCTCACCCTGCACACAGATTGCACGTTTGTTGATTTTATTAAAACACTGGAGTTTACCTGAAAAAAGAAAAAAAAGAAAAAAAAAAAAAAAAAAAAAGAAGCTGTTTGATTTTTTTTTCTTCTCATGTCTGAGCAGTGGGTTCAAGATCTTCCCGTGGTGGAAAATGATGGGGGTTGTGTATGCCCAGAAGAAGATGTCCAGGTTATTTTGGCTGCAAGCACATCTCTTTAATGGGTTGTTGAACTTTCACTGTGATTTCTCTTACAATTTGGCAGTACAGCACCACACAATAGTAGAAAAGGCAGAGAAACCACTGGCTGTGCATGCTTACAATAGGATATTGAGAGAAGGTGCAGATAGTGCACATTTTAATCTATTTACCTCCATGTCAATTTATCAGAGAGTGATGAAGCAATTAAAAATTTTGTGCACCTCTGCACAAAACCAGAGGTGGTGTTTGGAAGGGGGAGCCAGGCAAAGCCCGGGCTCGCGGGGGATGCTCTGCCCAGCACTGGCACCCAGCCTGACTCCCACCCGGCTGTTACTTCTCCTATGTTCAAGTAACACCCATCAGCCTGGGTGCACCCAACTCCTGCCTCTTCCAGCACCTCAACAACTGCAAAAGTCTTCAAACAACCACCCCCCCCCAAAAAAAAACCCCAACCAACTAATAAAAAAAATTAAGCACAATTTGTAAAGGACTCAGATATTTAAGCTTATGGTGTTTTCAAACACACTGCAAAGATGTACCTTCTCCCCCCGCCCCAACACTCTCTTTTTCTAGCATCAAGCTCATCTGAAAGCCATGGGCAGAAGACTGTATACAGGAGATTACCAGGCCCTCTGTCCTGAGGGTCCTAAACCACTTTCCCAGCCTAACCCAGTTGGTTGCAGCCTCTCCATCCCTCGGCTGCAGCTCTCCCAAGTTTGTAGCCAGGCTGCAAGAAAGCTTGGCCTCAGGTTAAACACCACTTCTTGCTTGTTGCCCGCTTGAGTAACTGAAGGGAGGGCTCGAAGGGTCATACAGGAGATTACCAGGCCCTCTGTCCTGAGGGTCCTAAACCACTTTCCCAGCCTAACCCAGTTGGTTGCAGCCTCTCCATCCCTCGGCTGCAGCTCTCCCAAGTTTGTAGCCAGGCTGCAAGAAAGCTTGGCCTCAGGTTAAACACCACTTCTTGCTTGTTGCCCGCTTGAGTAACTGAAGGGAGGGCTCGAAGGGTCTCATTCCCAGTGATGAGGGATTTTAGCCATAATGTGAGAAACACAAGGAGACACAGGGGAAGACACAGCTTGCTGAGGCCAC